GCCTGAATGTAGCACCCACACCCATAATCCCAGCAGTACTGGGACCCATAATCCCAGTTTTAGATTATGAATTAATCACAAACTGTAGAACTGCACCTCAATGACTGCATGAGGCCTTCGGGGGACAAATACACACAAACCATAACACCCACCATTCTCTTCCTGCTCTGGACTTGATTTTAAAATAGTGCTCTGAGCCAAATCCTTTGTGGTCCTTTTAACAAGCCTATGACTGCTGAGGCGGTCAGAGGCTTGAGGCAAAGCCACAAGAAGAAAGTGAACACAAGAATCAAGCATACAATGCCCCATAGTCTACCCGTCTTATCCCTGTCTCCCTTTTCTCTCTCATGGGCTTGTTTCTCCCTGGCCTACTGAACCTGCTTTACCCTTTGCCCCAAGTTTTACCCCTGGATGTCAGTACTGGGACACCTGCGATTAGTATCGATGCTATCAATGCTCTTCTTGCCCTTTCGTGTGTGCAAGAAGCGTCCCCTCACCACTCCTTACCCCAGTCCCTGTTTGGGCACTGCACGCTTCGTCTCACAATCTGCCAAAGTTCTCAGGGGTGAGGATGGAGAAACACAAGTCAGCTGACGTCAGGTGGAGCCCTCTCTTAGCTGGGAGCAAAGGAAGTGGCCAAGGATACAGTGTTTATTTATACACTCAGGAGGTTAATGTCAATTCCCACCTCTCTGCCTCCTTGAGCTCTTGGTGTTCTTGGGCCCAGCTTTGTTTTGCTATGTAGCCCAGGTTGGCCTCAAACTTGTGGCAATCCTCCTGCCTCAGCCTCCTGAGTGCTGGGGTTACAGGTATGGGACACCACACCCAGCTAAAGCATGCATTCTGGATCACCCATACTCACCCGGTTGTCAGCCTGCTTTCAAGGGAACAACCCCTAGTTATACAGAACCGATGGCATAAAGGACCGCCTCTCCCACCCTGACCCCATACTTCTCAGGTAGACAGGGTGAGTGGGGGCTGCAGGTTCACACAAGGGTGTGGCCCATAGATCCTGTCCCTGCAGCAAGGTGGGGGGATCCTATGTCCTGCTCCAAGGATGGCTTTACAAACATCCTGGAGTTGCCCAGTGTGGTGGCACACACCTCAGTACTCGGGAGGCTGAGGCAGGAGAATCGCTTCAAGTTCAAGACCAGTATGGGCTATAAAGTGAGCTCAAGGCCAGTCTAAATTGCGTAACAAGACCTTGTCTCAAAAAGACCAAAAAAGGGCCAGCGATATAGCTCAGCAGGCTAAGCACCTGCTTAGGTAAGCACAGGGGCCAAGGTTTGATCACTGGCACTGCCTGCCACGCCAGCCATGCTGGCCCCACCCCTGGGCATGCTGAGCCGGTGATTGAGACCGGGCATGGTGGCCATGCCTGTAATCCCAGCACTAGGGAGGCAGAAATCAGGAGGATCACTATGACTCTGAGCTGCATAGGGAGATCCTGCACCAAAAAACAAACAACAAAAAAAACTTTTAAAAGACAAAAAACCCCAATAAAATCCTGGAGTCACAGTGGAACATCAGCATAGCCCTGAAGAGCAGCTGTGCTCACAGCCCTACCAGGGGCTCAGGAATAAGTTTTAGTTAGCCTCCCTCCACTGTCACCTCTCCCTCTGAGGACAGGAAGGGATATGAAGGCCCAAGGCCAGTTCTCTACAGGGACCAGCCCCTGCCCCATGCTTCCTCATTCTCACCTAAAAACAAGGACAAAGCAGAGTTAGGAGGGAGACAGCACAGTTTTCCAACGCCCAAAAGCTCATGTAAGACAAGAAGTCACAGGGTCAGCAAGATAGCTCAGTGGACTAAGCACCTGCTTAGGCAAGTGCAGGGACTGGGGTCTGATCCCCAGCACCACATGCTATGCCTGCCCCACCCCTGGGTGTACCGAGCCAGCCACCAAGTCCAGGTGTGGTGGTGCATGCCTGTAATCTCAGCACTGGGAAGGCTGAAAACAGGAGGATCACTACTAGTCCAAGCTGCATAAGGAGACCTATGCAGGGCTCCTGCAGGGACACCTATGCAGGGGGAGGGAAAGGGGGAGGGGGGAAGGGAAAGGGGAAAGGGGAAGGGAGAGGAAGGGGTCGGGGAGGAGGGGAAGGGGGAGGGGGAAGAGGGGCAGGGGAGGAGGAGGAAGAGAAGGAGAAGGAGAGGGAGAAAGAGAAGGAGGAGGAAGAGAAGGAGGCGGAGGAAGAGGAGGATGAGGAGGAGGACAAGGAGGAGAAGGAGAAGCAGAAGCAGAAGCTGCTGCCATAACCCCAGGGATGTAATACCTTGGGGACACAAATATCAAAGAACTAAGAAAGATGAATCAAATGTGGTCCTGGACACAGCAGGGCGGCTGTCCACACAGGAAAAGGCAGTGTGCACAAGCAAAAATGTTTCCCACACACCACTGTACAAGTAGGAAAGGTCAAGACGTGGAACTCTGCAGAACAACAAAAGGGGACATGTCTCAATCTAGGAGGTATTAAAAACAATTCATTAGATAAAATTCTACTTTCATAAATCATCTCACGTCTTGTCTTCCAACTTTGAATGAACTCAGGCCCCTTCAACAACAAAAAAACCCCTACCAAGATTCTAGTATTATATATCCTCACAAGAAGCAAAGAAACTGACAATTTCAGGGGTTGAGAAAACCCCTTTCAGCTGCCTGAGGACTTCCTAACCCTATTTTATTCTTCTTCATGCATAGCCTTCTATCATTGTCTGGACCCCCTACACACACGAATCCTGTGCACGCCTCGCTCCCTTTGGGCTCTGTCTGTTGTTCGGCCTGCCAGGACCTAGGACAGGCCTAACATATCCCAAATGAATGAAAAGGCTTGCTCTTATGTGTCACACCAACCACAGCACATAGAGTACTAGTTGTAAACTGTGCTTTAATTTCTGCAATCAGATATGATGCAGTGAGAATACAGGTATAAACTTTTTGTGCATCCAGAAAATAAAAAGCACATTTATACAGATATAGCTCAACAGCATATTCTTTTTTTAAAAAAAAGAAAATTTGAATTTAATTAAAGCTAGTTTATCTTCAGTGTAAAAACTTGGAGGTATAAACAAAGTCAAGATATTATATACAGTAAATTATTAATATACATTTCCAAACTTGCACAGTGCAGCATTTTAAAGTAAATGGTCTCATTTCAGCTTTTACAATTAAGCATAACCCACATTTAAATCTTGAATAAAAATTTCACAATATATAAACCCATTGAGAATTCTGTACACAAATACAATCTATAGAAATCTGATTTGAAATATAAATACATAAATCATGACATTTTACACTTGCTTATTTTGCTATAGTAATTTTTAAAAAATCATAGAAAAATATTTCAATGCACATTCAACTGCTATAAGGGCCATGACCTTGTGCCTTTAAACCATATTTTATAGAGTGTAAAGCATCACACCAGGCATTTTGGGAATGAAAAGTACTAAGATTAAAGAGGCTACCTCACAAGTATGCATGTTATAACCAGGTAACAAAACAGTAAGCTCATAGTGTATCTGGGAGGAAAGGGGGCAGAGGAGTGGAGATTAGTGCTAGTTTAAGAAGGCCCACAGAACATACGTGAGAGAGAGAAACTCCCTTCTCTATATTAAATATTGTTTTTAAAAATCCCTATTGCAAACCTATTGCTGACCTCTAGGACTTTTAAGGCAACGACAATGACAGAGGTGTGTGGCCCCTAGGTGCACAAATCCTGCCCTCCTCTCAGCCTGTTAACTGACCAACCTCGAGTTAAGGTGGAGTGGAGAAGAGCAAAATGATTGTGTGTACAAAAGGGATTCAGTGCAAACTGGAAACTCCTTTATCAACAGCTCGGAATTCTCTGATTGCCCTCCAGCAGGTATTTTTAACATCTAACATTCAAATGGGGATCCATTCTGAAGAGCAAATGTATATAAAAGGCAAACATTCAACCTGAAGGGTTCTACTGTAAGGATTTCTCCCCCTTTGGTGGGATTTGACAAGATTTCCACTGAGAATGAAAAAAACTAGTCCTTACAAAGTATATTTTCCTACATTAAAAACTATATATATATATAACTTCAGACAGCAGATCCAAGGAGATGAGCAGGCATCGTTGTTTTCCTATGGCTTCTTAAATCACTGAGGTATCCTGTGAGAATCATCGCTTCTGGCACGGACGCTTAGCTGCTTTCCCCAGGCAAGCCACATTCGCGGAAGGCTGACCCCAGCAGTCTGTGCGGCCCAGAGCAGGCGAGGCAAGCAGGTAGCTGGGAAGAAACTGAGCGACTACACTGGCCAAGCATGCTCTCAGGGTCTCCAAAGCCCTGGGGGAAGTGGAAGGCGGCACAGCCAGGTGTTCCAATACTGGCAAACTGCAGAGGGCAGGAAGCTCCTCTGGGCAAAGCAACAGAGCCCCCAGTTTCCCCATCAGGCTCAGCAGCAAGACACTGGGACTACGCTCCAAGTAGGCAGTGCAGAGGGACGGCACAGAGAAAAGACCTGCAGCTGTCGGTACAAGGAGGAGTGGGTGGCGGCCGCCCGACACCTGGCATGTGGTAGTCCAGGAAGGAGGGAGGGAGGAGGGGCTGAGTGTTAGGGTGCGTGGCAACAGTGGAATTTTCCAGCTTTTCTCCCGACAGGGGAACAAGGAAAAATGCTGTGGTTTAAGTAAATGTCATCTATCTTAGTACCTCACCTCCGTGTTTCAATGCACACAAACACCACACAAGGCTGACCTTGTTCCTGTGATAAGCTATCAACTTAGGATTCCCAATGGTGGGATGAATTATCTTGGCACAGAAAGGACAAGAAGAAAGAAGGAAGTCCACGAATATCAAACTGAACCTCTTTCTAGTAGTAAACTGGCCACTGGAGGTTCTAATTCTTAGGCATCTGAAAAACAACCACAATCTTATGATCGGTCAAGTAGGAATTCCTTCTAATTAATACTTGAGATACGGTTTTAATTGCATAGTCTTTCAGAACCATGGAAAAACTGAGAACCAGCTCCTTTCTTCAAGGTCTAGATTTTCTCCATCAGAGGCTGGACTAGGACCCTCCTGGCATTAGCAAGACACTAAGACCAGTGGTCCCAACCTCCCACACACCTCTCCACAGTCACCAAACACTTGAGTCACACGTCCCCTAGGTCCACAAATTCGTCTTCTCGTTTGGCCAGATCTTCCTCATCTCCCAAAGCTTTCCAGCCACAGGTGGGCAAGACAGGTTTGGATGAGTGTCGCTGGAGCAAAGCGAAAGGGAAGAGTGAGGACAGGCGAAGAGAGTTCTTCAGCAGGCAGGGAGCCTCGGCCTGGAGGGACGCTGGGCTGTGGTGCCGTTCGTCAATTTTCTCTTGTAAGCTCTGGACTTCCTCCATCATTTCAAAGAGTTTGCTCATAGTGGCCACTCTGCCACCACCTAGGATTTGGGCTTCTGGAATCCAACGCAAGTAGCGCTGTGCCCAAACTTTGATTTCTGGCCCCTCTATATGAGGCAACAACAAACCGTGGTAGTCAGTAGGCTTGCTGTGCCAACTGTCATAGAACTCCCGCAAGTTGTCCTGAAGATCATCCGAAGAGTTAATAAGTTTGCTAATTCTCTTGCCCAGAATGTTTTTAAATAAATGATCTGTCTCTTCCCTGAAAAATCCTCTTTTGGGAGATGACTTAGACTGTGTGAGTGGCAAAGAAAGTTGTCGTTGATGCTTTGAAAGAAAACACAAATGAAAATCTTAGTTAACACAGAGACACTGTTAGAGCTGCTGCCATAGAAGAGAATGATCCTACTTTAACAAGTATCAAGAGGCATCAGAATCGCCATATGAATGCAGAGTCATTAAAATGTTATTTCATGCAGAGGAAGGTGGGCTCTTATTTATGCCCATGTTGCAAATGTTCAGTACACACTATTTTATCAACAAAGGGGAGAGTCCAGGCACATGTGGTGGCCATGCAGAAAGGCATGTTGGGACAAAGAATAGAGCTTCTGGGGAAACCTATTTCCAGGTCCCCTTCTGTCCCTCTCAGACAGAAGCTTTTCTCTCTGAATAAATTCTTCTGACTCTTAAGCTCCACTGTTTCTAGAATTCATTCCTTGACTTTACAGAGCATGAACTTGGCATATTAGATATCTAGCAGGTTGGGAGTTTCATTCCCCTGTCAACTCCATCAGCTGTCAAGGTAGCTGGCCTTGACTCCTGGATACACTACACTCAACTCACGTCCTGGGAGAGTGAAAAACCACTGCTGGAATACTTCTGTGAACCCACACAGACTTAAGATTCTTGGTTAAGAAAAAACAAAGCCTTCAGATAAATAATCTAAGATGTTATTCTCAATCCTTTTACTAAGTGCTTTACCACTTAATGGAGCATGCAGTTCCTTTCTACTGAGGGCACAAGAATACTTACAGAATCAATACAACAAACATCTTGCTAGATATGTAGCCTGCTCCCCTTGTTAGCCACATGTGGAAGGAAGCTTGGTGGGTGTCCCTGCTCTAAGGAAATGACCGGAATAAACTACAAGACTCTACTGATGAGTTACAAAAGAGTTCAGTGGTTCATAGGTTAGCCCATTACAAGGTAGCTGTGTAACCTATAAACTATACTTTTAACAATCCTAGACAGAATAGAATTTCTTGTTTTCTTTTGGTATGCTTATGAAGCTGAGCTAAATCCCAGGCCCCATAATAAAATTTCTTGTAACAATGCCACTGAAGCCTCCTTTAATGGCTCTAATAGGATCTCCATTAAATGAGGGTCCTGTCCTTAGGGCTAAAAACCATAGATGCCAAGATGGTATTTTCAGATATGGGATGAGTATCTATGGTTACCCACTACTATAAGACATCTTAGTAGAAAGGCCTCCTTATGTTGGAAACAGAAAAATCACTCCTATTCTCATTGGCCTAACTCTACTAAATACTTGAGATAGGTAAGCCCTGAACAAGGTATGCACGTAATAACTTTACCGGCTGAAGACTGGTTAGCAACAAACTGGTTTAATCACTCTGGAGGGGATTAATAGCTCAGTGGATTAAAGCTCCTGCAAGTAGGCACAGGGGCCAGGGGTTCAATCCCAGGACCTACCATGCTGGCCCTGCCCGCCCCTGGGAAACACTGAGATGGCAACTGAGACTGGGCGTGGTGGCACGCCTGTAACTCCAGCTCTTGGGAGGCTGTAAAAAGGCAGATCACTGCGAGTCTGACCTGGTAATGAGACCCTGAACACCCTGTAGGCTCTTCCCTAAAATACAAAATCTTGGGAGGCTGCAAACAGTTGATCACTACGAGTTTCATCTAGTAGTGAAATCCTGAACACCCTGGAGACCTTCCTTAAAAATACAAAAAAAAA